CCTTCTTAAAAATAATTAATTTTCAGAAGTTCTGCCAGGGGCTTGTATTCAAAACCTCAAATGATCTAGATGCCTCCAAGCCTTGAATCTCTATTTAATTTACTTGTCAGTGGTCTTGAACATTTCCATAGGTTTACACCAGTAAGAGCCTGTGGTTCTTAGGGTTCATCTTATTTTTTTCAAGCCCTGTTGTTCCTTGTGCCCCATTATAACACTAATACCTTCATGAGGAACTTTGGAAAACACAGAAAAATAAAAATGAGTTCACGGGCTGGGAAGGTGGCTCAGTGGTAGCTTGCCTTGTATGCATGAGGTCCTGGGTTGAATTCCTCAGCACCACGTAAGTAGAAAAAGCCGGAAGTGGTGCTATGGCTCAAGTGGTAGAGTGCCTAGCCTTGAGCTGAAGAGCTGAAGGACAGTGCCCAAGCCCAGAGATTAGGCTCCACAAACGACAGAGGGAAAAAAAAAAAAAAGAGTTCAGAAAACTTCCCAAACTTCCAGTGTTAAGGTTTCCATGTTTGTTCTATTTGGTATCATAAGGTATCCTTCTGCATATAGCTTTGTTCATTTAACAATCTGTGTAAGGCTGAAAACTGTTTCCGGTCAATTGGTATGCACACTCACCCATCTTCTTTAAGAACAAAACCTCTAAAAGGTAGAGCCAGTTTTGAAATGTAATGGTAAGATTCATTCCCCAGTCTAAGTGCTCTGGTTATAAGATTATTTCTGATAGAAGACTTTACACCGCTGAGGTCTTACGGTGGCCAGTTTCAAAGCCCCATTTATCCCAATGCTCACTAATTGTTTCAAATTGGACCTGCAAACACAGGCTTTAGGCCTCCATCAAGCTTTCCCATTAGGAGTTGAAACATTTCCACAATGAGCTGATTACAGAGAAGCTTCAGCTTCAAAAGAGAAGAATTATCACCCAGCTTGCTCTTTCAGAAGGAAATTTTAGCTGTTTTCAAAACATCTGAATTTTTTCTTTCAGCGCATGCTTGTCTACAGGGAGAAACTAAATGGCTTTAATTCTGTAATGGTTTAAATGAAACGTTTTATTTGATCAAATCATTCCACTGCTAAAAATCTCAAGTTGTATTTCATAGCTTTGAGAATAGAAAATCAAAGGTTTGTTTTGTTTTGTTTTTGGTGCCAGTCCTGGGGCATGAGCTTAGAAACTAGGCACTGTCCCTGAGCTTTTTTGTTCAAGATTGCTGTTCTACTATTTAGAGTTAAAACTTTTCTTCCAGCTTTTGGCTGGTTAATTGAAGCTAAGAGACTCTTGGATTTGTCTGCCCTGGCTGGCTTTGAACCTCAAAGCTCAGATCTCAGCCTCCAGAGTAGCTAAGATTACAGGTGTGAGCCACTGGTAATCAGTGGTGAAGATCAAGTTTTTCTTTTCTTTTTGTAGTTGTACAAAGGAGTTGCCTTTAACAAAGCAGCTTGTAAATACAATACATCTTGATCAATGTCACCCCTTTCAACATTCTCACCTGTTCCTCCTCTTCCTACCCTTTCCCTCATGCTTCTTAATTTTATAGGATATAGGAAGATCAAGTGTTCAACAAAGCACAGATGACACTCTATATGATTTGGTTTCTGTCTCTTCTTCAGCTACACAAAGGAATACCAGTTTGGGGTTTCCATAGGGGAAAACGCTATTAGAGACATACATGCTGCATTCTGCCCACCTGAAGCCATACTCTTTACCCTTCCTCCCAGATGGAAATGTCCTGAGAAGGCTTCTGGCTGATTCTGTTTAACCCTCTGCTTCCCAAATGCATTTGGCCACAAAAACACTTTATATCCTCCTTCAATGAAGTCTATTTCCTAAAAAGACACTTTCAGAAATGTAACATAGACCTTAACTTCTCCCAGATTTAAGCACATCAAGCTTGTATGTTTCTTGAATTGCTTATGTTTTTTCTAAAACACCATCCATCATTAATCTTTATTAATTTGTCATTACTACTTATTAATTTCCAATTGCCCTTCAAAATTCAACTAAAGGGCTTCAGGCAGGGCACCACAGTAGAGCACCAGTCTGGAGAGTCAAAGATGAGTTCAAATCTTAGTGCTGCAAAAACAAAACAACCACCCCCCCTCCCCCTCCACAACTTACAGTCACATCCCAGGTACCCTAAGCTTGGCCAAGCAGGTATTCAACCACTCTAGCCATGCCCCCTGACTTTTTTACTTTAATCATTTTGTGGTGATATTTATGCCTGGGCCAGCCTATATGACAGTCCTTTTTTTTTTTTACATTTTCCACATAGCTAGGATAATAAATGCGTGCCAGCACCATGCCTAGCCACTGGCTGATATAGGGGTCTCACTAACTTATTGTCTAGGCTAGCCTCAAACTGTGATCCTCTCAATCTCTGCCTCCAAGTAACTAGGATTGCAGGCATGAACTATTGCACTTAGCCACAATTCACTAAAACCTTGACTTAATCCATATATCCTCATAGCTGCTGCTTCCTGAGGGAACATGTTCTGGAAATCTTATGTGGTACACAGAAGGTACTCAATAGGACTTGTTGACTGAATAAAACTAACACAAAATATGTAGCAAGTACTCTCTTTTCATTATGGATCATAAAATTCCCAGAAGGCAGTCACTGAGTTTTTCTAACAGTTCATGTTAACTAGGAACTTAACAAGACATTGCTAACAAACTTGATCTTCCCATCCTTGTGAAGGATAATCTTAATGAACTTGTATTATGTATTTCACCTCAGAAATATTTTAAAGGTTTTCTCTAGCTAATGAAAAGATTACTTTTGCATATCATTTCTGAATAAAATATCTATATTATATCTGAGATAGTAAATACATAAGCATTAATATTCACTACTGATTTATTAGAATTTCCCTTTCTGGAAATCAATTAAAAGAGGATAACTGTTGTTCTGAAAACTGTCAGCCCAGAAAACTGGCTTCCTTTAATATTTTATGCAAAGAAGTAACAAAAAAGCAAGAAAGGAAGCAGAAAATATTATTTTCCAACTCACTTATCTCTCTTCCTTTCCTGTCTTGTGTTTTGTAGAGCTGTCTGCAAAATAAGCTACCAAAGTGTTTTTCTCTTCCAGTATCTTTTAGCTGATAACATTTCCTGACTTACAGGAGTTTGTCATGTATTGACTTTAATATTGTATTTTTGGTAATAAAATTTTTTTTGTTAAAAAAAAACATTTCCTGACTTCTTATTATACATATACACTCATAAATATAAATTCTTCCTTTGGATATTCAAAATAAATCAAAGTAAAATTTGAATTTTGATAGAATTTCACCTCTTTTACAGTCTTGAAAAAGTATAATTACACATTTAATCTTCAAGTAGATCGAAGACTCCCAAATGGAGTGCATTCCACTTTCTTTTTCTTTGGGGGGGGGGGGGGAGGTCTGGTCTTGGGGCCTGAACTCTGGGCCTGGGCACTGTCCCTCAGCTCTTCAGCTCAAGGCTAGCGCTCTACCACTTGAGCCACAGCGCCACTTTCGGCTTTTTTCTTTTTGCTTATGTGGTGCTGAGGACTCGAACCCAGGGCCTCATGCATGCAAGGCAAGCGCTCTACCACTGAGCCACCTTCCCAGTCCTTTTCATACATTTTTTTAAGTAGAAGAAATAGTCTATGTTCCCTTGGTCACAACCTCCAAGGTCTTGATCCTAACAATTAAAAAGTTCTTCTGCTGGCAGTCAGTGGCTCTTGCTTGTAATCTATGCTATTCAGGAGGCTGTCATCTCGAGAATTTTGATTTAAAGTTAGCCTGGCGGGAAAGTCTCCAAGATTTTATCTCCAATTAATTGGCAAAATGCATACCTAGAAGTGTGGCTCAAGTGGTAGAGCACCAGGCATGAGCAAAAAAGCTGAATAAGAGCTCAAAGTCCCGAGTTCAAGCCCCAGTATCTACACACACACACACACACACACACACACACACAGCCCCAGTATCTACACACACACACACACACACACACACACACACACACACACACACACGTTCTTAGAGCTAGAAGTATAGCTCAAGTATTCAAGGGCCTTTGCTGAGCCTAATAAGTACAAGGCTCTGGAGTTCAAGCTCTAATACTTTCCCACCCAAATATTCTTTGTAGCTTCTTCTGATTTTCCCTATGCTCTCCTAATTTCTCTCTAGAAAAATTGCAGAGTCCTGGGGACTGTTAGTTTGCACATATAGTCTTAGCTACTCAGAAGCCTGAGATCTGAAGGACTATACTGGGCAGAAGAGTGTGTGAGACTTTTATCTCCAACTAACTGCCACTACTGACAAAAAAAGCTAGAAGTGGAGGTTTGGCTCAAGTGGTAGAGCACCAGCCATGAACAAAAAAGAAACTACAGCATATAGGGGTCATTGGTACAGTGGTGTAATCCTAGCACTCAGGAGGCTGAGAGAGGAGGATCACAAACTCAAGACCAATTTGGACCATACAATGAGACTGTCTCAAAAAAAAAAAAAAAAAGTAGGGGCTTAGGATATAGCTCAGTAGCAAAGTACTTTGCCTAGCATGTGAGACCCTGGGTTCAACTTCTAGCAGTCAAAAGAAAAAAGAAAAGAATATACAGTCTCTACCCTTCAACCATATCATTTCCTTTCCCTTGTATTCATTTCCTTCTCTGATTTTTTTTGACAGTTAATAGCTTTTTGCTGACAGAGAATTCATCAGACTACCCAGAAGATATTTTTTTCTGTGCTTCAAGTTCCCCATTACAAAATTCAGAAACAATATTTGACAATGGTTGCTCTGATGAGACAAATACAAAAACTTATGACTATGTCTATAAAAGAATAAATGTTAACTAACTAGAAATAATTAAGATCTCTACCAAAAGCTTTTCTAGAAGCAAATGACAGAACCCTTAAAAAAAAAATGAAGATCCAGTTCCAAAAATTTGAGCTTGGGGATAAGACTTCACTCTCACTCCTTTATCTCCTACCCCAAAGTAGAATGTCACAAAGGTTTCGTTGAGCTACCATACCTCCTCTTCTCCCTGCCTTCCACAGAGGAGTCTGTTCCAGGAGAGGAGGGCACAGAAGCAGCAGTAACCCCATTGGTAGTGTTAGGTGGAGGGCGATTAGTGATGACACAGAGTGGGGTACCAGAAGAAACACTGTCTGCTGCTTTCTCTGCAGTAGAATCAGCCTGGGATCTGTAAGGAGTCCTGAAATGAAAAAAGACATGAACAGAATGGTCAGGCATGCTTTACAACAAAGCACTGCAGGAAGGAGGCTCAGAGATAGACCTAATGAGAGAATCTTCCTGTTCAGATTTTGTTACTTCATTTACTCAGAGTTCTAAATCTTTCAATAATATACATATAATCTGATACCCTTTGCCAGAAGACTTGCATTTTGACATTTTTGGTTTTTTTGCATAAGATTAAAAACCAGAGGGACAAAAATTAGCTATGGCAAAAGGCAAAATACTGACATGCAAGAGTGTTTTAAGATTCCTCATTGCCATCTGGCCTCCCTCCAAACATGCAGACTCTCTCTACACATGAAAAAGACACCAAAGTCACTTACGATATTAATCTCCACCTGTCCCTTAATTCTTGGCAGTAACAGTCTTTGTGGCAGTCATCAGCCTAGATTTGACAATCATCTTCTTGGATTATCCATTTGCAAAACATCCCATAACCTCAGTATGTTTAGTTGTCTTTAACCCAGTTCAGTAACTGCAGCCGCTTTCCAATTTAACCAATGTCTAATTGTCTACATTCCTAACTGCACAAGTGAGAAACTGAAACAAAAACAGAGCAGGATTCTATATGCAACCTTAACTACAGACTTCAACAGCAGGCTGTATAATTAAACTCATTTATGGAAAAACAAGAGCTTTGTATCTGAACAAAGAGTTAGGAGCAACCATTGGCTCTCCACCCAAAAAGCTATCATTTGTGATGTCACAGCTTGTTGCTGGGGTAACAGAGATCCAAAATTGATACTCACGAGATGGGAAAAGCAATGAAAAGCATGAATGTTAAAAATCTGTATTCCACCTACTCACAATCATTATCAGAGGTATTTACAAGGAGCTCAATTCCAAAATAATCACATTATTACAATAAGCTTAAAGAAACAATCACATCCTAAAAGTAGCATCCTAACTATGGTATCCAGGTATAAATATTAAAATAGAATACTTGGGGTCAGTACTGGGGTCTGAACTTAGGCCCAGTTGCTTGCTAGGAGAACACTCTACTTCAGCCATGCCCTCGGCCATTTTTTTGCTTTATCTTTCAAATAATGTCTTTCGTTTTTGCCCATGGCCGCCTTGGACTGCCATCCTCATACCTATTGCCTCCTCATACCTACTGCCTCCTGCATAAACTGAGATTACAGACATGTACTTTCATGCTCTGCTTTTGAGACAGGAGACTGACTAACCTTTGCTTTAGGCTGGCTTACAACCTTAATCCTACTGAACTCCATCCCGCAAGTTGCTGGGATTAAAGGCATGAACCACTGTGCCTGGCCTAAAACAAAAACTCTTGTGTGTCTGTGTGTGTAGACCTACATGCTGCATGGGCCTGGAGTTTTCACTGTGTGTGTAGACCTACATGCTGGGGTGTGTGTGTGTAGACCTACATGCTGGGGTGTGTGTGTGTAGACCTACATGCAGGGGTGTGTGTGTGTGTGTGTGTGTGTGTGTGTGTGTGTGTGTGTGTGTGTGTGTGTGTGTGTGGACCTACATGCTGGGGTGTGTGTGTGTGTGTGTGTGTAGACCTACATGCTGCATGGGCCTGGAGTTCTCACTGTGTGTGTGTGTGTGTATAGACCTACATGCTGGTGTGTGTGTGTGTGTGTGTGTGTGTGTGTGTGTGTATAGACCTACATGCTGGGGTGTGTGTGTGTGTGTGTGTGTGTGTAGACCTACATGCTGCATGGGCCTGGAGTTCTCACTGTGTGTGTGTGTGTGTATAGACCTACATGCTGGTGTGTGTGTGTGTGTGTGTGTGTGTGTGTGTGTGTGTGTGGAGACCTACATGCTACATGGGCCTGGTGTGTGTGTGTGTGTGTGTGTGTGTAGACCTACATGCTACATGGGCCTGGTGTGTGTGTGTGTGTGTGTGTGTGTGTGTGTAGACCTACATGCTACATGGGCCTGGAGTTCTCACTAGGCTTTTTTTGTTCATGGCTGGTGCTCTACCACTTGAGCCACACTCCTCCCACTTCTGGCTTTTTTTCTGCCTAAATGGAGATGAAAGTCTCAGCTTCAAGCTGTGATTCTCAGATCTCAGCTTTCTTAGTAGCCAGGCATGACAGAAGATACAACAGAATACTTTTGAAGACTGAAATAATACCTAAAATATACAAGTTACTTCTCTAGAAGCAATTAATAACTTAGAATAAGGTGAAATTTGTATGTATTTTCTTTTTTCAATTTTTTATTGTTATTGTAAAGCTAATGTACAAAAGGGTTACAGTAAATACATTTCCTTTACTCTCTTTATATATTTTCTAATTTTAAAAACTGAAGGCAAAATTAGTCAATTTGAAGTACTAATAAGATCAGGCTAAAGCACAGCTATAAAAAAAATTAGCTACTTAAGAGGCTGAGGCAAGAGGATCACTTTTTTAGGTTAAGGCACTATACTTATTACAATATTACCTAAAGTTTATTTATTTTTTTATTTTTATTTTTTGGGGTCCAGTTGTGGGGCCTGAACTCTGGGCCTGGGCGCTGTCCCTCAGCTCTTCAGCTCAAGGCTAGTGCTCTACCACTTGAGCCACAGCGCCACTTCCGGTTTTTTTCTTTTTGCTTATGTGGTACTGAGGAATCGAACCCAGGGCCTCATGCATGCAAGGCAAGCGCTCTACCACTGAGCCACCTTCCCAGTCCCTGAAGTTTATTTTTAAAAAATAATAACATGTTTTGGTCTCTCTGCCTTGTATTAAGCTCCTGGGATGCCAGAGATTTTAGAAACATGTTGTAATTTTACAAGTGGACTAGAAGGAACAGAGTAGGGGAAGCTTGGTAGTAAGGATCAAAGCTGTATAGTGGAGTCAGCTAAATCATGGGTTGGGAAGAATTTGAGGCTAAGTTTAAGCCAATGTAATGATCTCTTTTTCACCTGTAAAACAGAGGCAATAATACCCTGACAAATAGGATCCCTATAATGATGAAATTAAACAATGTATGTAGAAGATCTAATATAGTGCCTAGAATACAATATAATCTCAGTGGAAACTAAACCATGACACAATAGACAAGATCCTGCAGTGGACAAATCTGGGTTCAAATCCTATTTCAGTTTCTCCATCACTATGGGATCTTGGACAGATGATTAGGGAAGCTTTTGTCTGTTCCCTCATCTATAAAACAAGACTGTTTGCTGGAGGCAGCTAGCTGCTTAACCACAGTCATCATTTTTCCCCCTCTTACATATGGAATACCTGTATAACTGAGGGCAGTAATGTACTATTACAAATCCATATTTCCTTGAAGTATGAAATGAAAGAGAGCAAGAAATTAGTGTTTCTCAGAAAATTACCAGTTTAGAGGGATTCTCTCTTTGCCTCTTTCCCACTTTCCTCCTGCTTCCTGCCTAGAATGTAGCCACAATGTATACAGCTCCAGGAGTTATTTTGAAACATGAAGCAATCCTTGAAAATAGAAGCTTTAGTGTAAAGATTAAAGAAGAGAATGACCAAAAAAAATGTGAATCCTTTAACAACTCTGAAGGTAGTATGTTATCACTATTTCAAGGCTTTCTTACATGCAAGGCAAACTACAAACCTTCATCTTCTTTATAAGACACTATTATAAGACACACAGTACAAGGACACACTTTATAAGACATACAGTAGCTTTACTGTGCATAATCAAATCATAACATAAATTCTACTTAGTACTTAACCTAATGTTTGTCACAAAATAAAGTCCAACAAATGACAGCTATATTCATTTTTATCCAGTTTCAGCTCCATGAATTCACACACACACACACACACACACACACACACACACACACACACACACACACACACACACACACACCCCGCCCCAGTGCTGGGGATGGAATTCAGGACCTTTCTTGAGCGTGCTAGGTAAAGGCATTACCACCATGCTACATCTCCAGCCCTCTTGTGTTTTGGTGATAATGTCTATACAGCTAGATTATTATGGGGACTTAATAAATTTCTATATAATTATACAGTATTATTATTAATAATCTGTCAGAAGGCTGTCCCTCATAAGCAACTGATTATGAAGACCTAATAAATATCCACATAATTATACATCAGTAATAGTAATCATAAATCTGTGCTTTTGGCCAAGAGAATGATAACTAGTTATTTTAGGGAAAGAAACCTAGTAAATGACAGATATCAATTAACCATCGCCATAACCAGAGTTCTTGAAAAACACTATCATCATTAACAGTTTTTTTCATTTTCTTTGGGTCAGTTGTAGGGACAAGACCTAAAAGAACTTCTGATAACATGAAAAGAATTACAAACCACAGATAGAACTAAAGCTAAAGCACTGCTGCAGTTGCTACCCTCAGCCTCTATAAACCAGAAATCAAGATTCTATCACCCCTAGAATGCAAATTTCTACTCATAATTACTAGAAAGCTAATATAAGTAATATATAGGAATATGTTTGGTACTTATTTCCTACAACAGGACTGACCCTTAAATTGTTATCACAACTGGTAATATTACTGAGAAATAAAAGCAGTCATGCCAAGTTGACCCGAATGCCAAGTACAATGATACATTCCACAAAACATCAAAAGCATCTTCATTAAGTTGCAGACATTTTCACAGGAATTCAAACTTGCTTCTATAGTGGTACAGCCTCTTTGGTTCAAATTTTATGTGTTTCCAGGGTATTAACTTTGATGAACGTGACTCAAATGGCTCCAAGAAGCCTTACCTGCCAGGTTGTATAGATGCAGTAGTGTTTGTACTGATTGGTGCAGGGCAAGAAGAGGCAGGTTGCCACTGGCTGCCCCGAGAGGTAGATGAACCAATGGTAATGGGTGAGGTAGCAGAAGATGAATTGCGATTGGCTGAAATGTAGGGACTTGTGGGATCACTACTTCTACCAAATGAAGCACTGCAAAACAGCACATAGTCACTTTCTTCAGGACATGCTGCTCATCCACCATTTCCCAGCACCACCTTCCCACCCATATTGTGCACTTAAAAGGAATGAAGACCAAAGAGAGGGGCAACTGGGAAGTGGAGTACTCAACTCCAGCTGGAGCTGGGTGGCTGGCAGCAAGCAGGCAATCATCCAAAAGAAAGAAGCAATCATCACTCTTTGAAAGATGATATCTTGGTCAATCATCAAAAAGAGTGAAGAAATGTGAAGGAGAGATGATACTTAACACAGAAAAGCAGGAAAATAGAATATATGTCAACAGTAGAAAGTAAGAATGTAAATAACAGGAAATAGCAAATTTCTGTTAGAAAGAAATAATCTTCAACAAACCCAATACAAAAAATCATGCACCCCCCAAGTGTCAGCCTGATAGGGAAGTAGTACTACAGAAGCCAGAGTAAGACTATAGAAATTTGGAGAGATTTTAGAAATGTAAATGTAAAAGTTGTAAGAGTAAAGAAGAAGCACTATGAAAAAAATGACTGAGAACTACAGTTATTTAGCTTAAAACAACAATTAAAGGACTAAAAGCTTTAAATCTAGAAAGTAATACTGTGGGTACTAAGAGCCCATTTTCCCTTATTTCAGTTGAAGACAGGTAAGAACTGTATTGATTGCAGCAAAAAATTATCTAGATTAGAATTAAAAATACTTCTTGACTAGAAAAGTAATGAGACACTTCAGGGGATGATCATAAAAAGTCATGAAATCTTCTCTGGAAAAGAGGCATCTTATTGGGCCACAGGAAGTTAATGCTTGTCAGTAAACAAGAGATGACAGAAAATGGAACTCATACCAAGATTTGTCGCAGACAGGGAACAACAAATTCCTACTTGTACTTTCTTTTTTAAATGGAGCATATGATTATTTCTTGAAAAGACAGAAATTTATAAAATCAAAATGTGTTTTGGGATTACATAAGATGAACTTTGAAAATTCAGGTATGACGCAAACTGTATATCTTTTCTCAAAAAATGCTTATATAATTGAGCATACTTTCTATCTTAAATAGAGGGAGCCCTTCTCTCCTCTGTCCACTATAAGTCTGGCAATTACATCTATCAAGCCAAATGCCACTCAGTTCACTTGCTCATGACTTGGTTCATGAAAATCAACAAAATAACTGCCTGGAAACTAAGCATCACTTTTCTCTCTCTCCTAGATCCAGAACACTATTTTCCTTGAAAAGTTTTTGATCTTAGATTTGACCGTAGCAATACTAAAGAAAAGACGAATAGGTCATAGCCTCTTGAAGGCCCTGGTTTCTATGAATGCCAGTCAGATCACTAAGCTATACTTGTACAATTTCACTGTTGAGCCCTTTCTTATAATGAATCTGCAGAACTGAAGATAGTTAAAAGGCTGTTTCTTTGATAGCTTTTTATTTCTCAAGTGACATTAACTATTTGACCAAGTGCCTTCTTGTCAGGTGGAGATCACTTTTGATCCCAAACAACTAATCTGTTCATACAATTTATCGTCAATGGAAGGTAGCCAATCAGTCATCTAGAAAACCTCATGACAAATGCATGAAAGAGGCAGGTGGAGGCATTAAGTGGAAGTGAAGAAAGAATTGAAAGTAAGCAATGAAAAACAGATTCTTTCCACATCAGCAGCAAAGTTCAAATTAAAATATTAAGTAAGTGTATCTTGTAGCTTAATGGTTCTGGCAAAGGTGCTTTGCTTGCTGGCTAGCTGTGGCAAAGAAAATAACTGCAGAAAAGGGAGTACAGATGAGAGGGAAAAAAGAAGGAAACCCAAGTACCTTCTCTGCACCAAACTTGCGAGTTTCACATCTTGATGGATCTGAGGGCCATTAAAGTCATAAAAAAAAAAAACAACTCAAGTCCCTAAATTAACAGGCTGTAATATGAAATGTCTTTAATGCAACAGAAAACTATTCCCCTTTCCAACCCCTTGCCACCCTATGAAAGTCCCACCCTTCCTCCCCACAAAAATATAACTTGAAATGGGAATGACTAGTTTTAGAAAATAGAAAACCAGCTACTGGACAAGGATGTTTTAAAATTCAATCTTTCCCAGAGATTACTAGAAGTTTTTCTGATAAAAGATTTTACTAGGACAGAAGATTGGGTATAAAGTCAGGTCAGTGGTGAAAATTTAGAATTAACATACTTTAATTCAGTTATTAAGAGAACACATTAACTTTTAATCTTAAATTAGTCAAAATGTTAATCCCAAGAAATCTAAAAGCAATTCATTTGTTGATTCATTGGATAACTGGATATAAAAAGGCATGCAGTTATTACCCATGTTCCCATAGCCATAGTGAAGGAAAATCACTGCCTACTCCTTTGCACCTGGTACCTTTTCAAATAGGTTGATACATAGTTGGAAGGAGCAATTTTCTGTTGGGTTTCATTGCCTTTCCCTTCATCCCTCCAGAGCTGCCGGGTATAGGAGCCACTCCTTACTAGATTAACAGCTGATTCTCTGTAGAGACATGAAAGCAAATCAAACAAAACACTGATTTGTACCACCAGTTTTACCCAGAATACAAAGCAAACAGAGAGAAAAGCCAACAGCAAACTAAAATATGGCTAAAGAAATGATCTTCTAAGTGATTCTATTATATAAACCTGTTTTCTTACAAACAGAACACAAGTGCTACTGCTGGCTTTCATCTATCAACTTCAAAGCCAGATCATTTCAACAGGTACCAAATTCCTTATATCAAAGGGCCCTTTTGTAATGAAGAGTCATTTTTGTTCCTTATTTAGTTCCTTGTAATAAGTACTCAGTAGCAGGTTTTTATTGATTAAGTAAAGAAGGGATTAGTGGGAGAGATGAAGAAGTCTATCACAAGAAGAGAAAAAGAAAAGGAGAGCTTCTGGGCACCTCTTTAGAGAAGAGACAGGATTTTGGATCTACATTGATAACTTGGGGTCTTTGCTGGTAAGGTTATGGGTCTTCATATTTCATACAAGTCTCTAGAACAATCTTCTCAAGCTTTAATTGTACTTCAATTATCTAGGAATTCTTTCAAAATGTAGATTCTAGTTTTTTTTTGTTGGTTGTGGGCTTGAACTCAGTGTCTGCATGCTGTCCCTGAGTTCTTTTGCTCAAGGTTAAAGCTCTACCACTTTGAGCAACAGCACCACTTCTAGTTTCTTGGGAGGTGGTAAACTGGAGATAAGAGTCTTAAAAACTTTGTTACCCAGGCTGGCTTCAAGCCGTGATCCTCAGATCTCAGTCTCCTGAGTACTAGGATTATAGGCGTGAGCAACCAGTGCCGGGCTCAAAATGTAGAATCTCACTGAACAGTTCTGTGGTATGGCCTGAGATTCTGTACTCCTAACATGTTCCTAGATGAGGTTGTTACTGCTGGTCAAAGGACCACACCTTCACAAACATTGTAGATTAGGCCAAGATGCACATATATTTCAAAGTCTCTATACTAATCTTACCAGATGAGGAAGGCTAGTTACAAATTAGAAGTTGATCAACTCAAATTATATTTTCAGTGTTTACTATGTCATAGGCATAAAACCAGAGAGACACAGACTTCTTTTATAGAGCTTCTGAGGTACTAAAACGAGCTCACACTTGTGTCACAGATGTCCTACAAACAGCAATGTCTAACTATGCTAGAGTTAGAATTTGACGAGTAAAGAACTGGCAAAACAAGGGAGTAAGGGCTAGGAGGTATTCTAAGTTGAAGAAAAACCAATTCATAATGTGTATGCACATTTATGGAAAAAAGGTAGAGGAATAATGGCCAGGAGACCACTATGCCCAGAGAAGATAAAAGAAATCATGTTTTGGTCTATCTTATGATTACCTGTTTTCCTTTTCTTCAATGTCACTTGTGCTGCTGAGTCTCCGGGGAACTAGTGAACTAAAATAGCCTTTGTTTTCTCTTTCCTGTAAAATAGAAATAAGTAAAGCACAGAAAAGGCAGAAAACTGACAGAGCAGAAAACATTTTGAGTAAAAAGGTAGAAATATACCTATAAAATCTATCTACAGTCAATACTAATTCCATTTTGAGTGATATTATAAAATATTAGCTTTCAAAAGCTTATTCCTAACTTCCTTTCATTAAAACCCCATACAAAGGGATATAATTCTCAAGAGAAAAGCCAGGATGATCCAATAAAGAAGCCAGTAGCAAAGACTATAAAAAGCAGCAACCTTGTCAAGAGAGAAAGGGAGTCTTTGAAAAGCCACAGAGAACTCTACTCTAATGTTCTCAATGAAATTAGCTTGACTTAGTCTCCTGTGTATCTTTCCTTTAAATGTAGTGTCCTTAGGAGCATAAATAGCAAATATGCTGCAGAGTTAACCCAACCACTATACCTTACCACTTCAAGAAGTGTCCAGAAATGCAAGACACAGTAAGAAGACTATGATCACAAAGAAGACATGACCCCAGACAAGAATACTGAACAACCTTAATAAAATTTGGAACCAAACTCATCTTTAATGACTTTATGGATGAAGTGCTCATGAAGTTAACCTGATCAGATTTCTACAAATGAAAAAAATAAGTTCAAATTATTTCCTAGGCTGGATATGGGAGCACACACTTGTAATCCTTGTACTTGGGAGACTGTTAGAAGAGTTCAAGGCCAGCTTTGTCTATATAGCAAGTTCCAAGCCTGCTTGTCTCAAAAAAAAAAAAGAAAAACAATTTTTCTAATTGCTAATGTGCCTGAACTGCATTAAGATTCACAATTGAACTAAGGAGTATTTAAATATCAAGGATAAGTTTCTGAGCCAGGAGCCAGTGGCTCATGCCTGTAATCCTAGCTACTCAGGAGGCTAAGCTCTGAGGATCACAATTCAAAGCCAGCCCAAGCAGGAAGGTCCATGAGATTCTTATCTCTAATAAACCACCAGAAAATCAGAAGTAGTACTGTGGCTCAAGTGGTAAAGTGCTAGCCTTGAGCTGAAGAGCTGAAGGACAGCGCCCAGGCTCAGAGTTTAAGCCCCATAACCAACACAAAAAAAAAAAGTTTTGGGTTCAGAAGAACCATTTAGGCAATTTCTTCTGAACAACTATTTTGATCTGGGTAAGGGGATAATGAAGAATGAATATAAGGCCAGCCATAGGGAAAAGGTACTTTTAAAGTTCTTTTTTTTTCTGGCCAAGCAAGTAATAGCTAACAAATAGCTATTTGGTCACACTATCAATGTATCTGTCTCCCTTTAAAAACTTTCTGCTCCGCAGTCAACTTATGGACTAGAAAATACTTTCATTTGTTTCCAGAATTGACTTTTCATAGAAGAAAACTGCCTTGGAATTCCCCCAGACCTTGTCTTTATTGTCCAGCAGAGCAGAGATCCGGGGGCTTGATGAAGAGCGATAGATGGAAAGGCCTCGGTCCCGCAGAGCATCCCTGGAATTGGCCACTTCACTTAGCATATTGTGGCTGCCAGTTTTTCTGAGTCCCAGTCTCCATGAAGAAGGAGATTCATCTTTGGGCTCTTCCGGCTTGCTAAAAAGGCTGGAAGAGAACTATGAAGGAGAAAGCAAAGAAAAGAAGAAAAAAGAAAGGTTCAAAGAACAGTAAAGAAACAAAAATAGTCACCAAAGCATTTTTCCTCTGAATGCTTATTCATTGTTTCCACCTATTTACCTTTTCCACATTTAACAAAGTTCAGTAGAGCAGCATAGAGCAGTGCCAGGAGAAAATGCATGGCACAATTCCCCTTCACATGACAATTGCTAATCACCTCTCAAGGCATTCCTTTTCTCTAGGCCAGAAATAGACTCGTGTGAAAGAACTGCTCTCTTTCTACAACTAGAACTGACCTGAAGCACCAGGAGGATGTATTCTAATGATATATCTTGACTTGCTGGGTACATGAAAATAATATGATCTGCTTCCCTAGGTCTCAACATCCTCATCTGTCAAATGGTGATCATGAGCTTAATTCTTCCCTATCGCATGTGGAGTCTAAAAGAACAGGATACGCTAATATATAAATATGCTTGAAGAAACTATATGTGTAAGTTGATTTAATTTAGTGCTAACAAAAATAGAGGCAAATTTTAATGACCACTTTCAAGAAAACAATTTCATGTTTGACAAGAGTTCTAGTAGTTTTAGATTTCAGTGGCTAAAAAACTTAAGAAGAGGCTGGGAATGTGGCTTAGTGTTAGAGTGCTTGCCTAGCATGCATGAAGCCCTGGGCTCAATTCCTTGGTACCACATAAACAAACAAAAAAGCCAGAAGTGGCATTGTGGCTCAAGTGGTAGAGTGCTAGCTTTGAGCCAAAGAAGTTCAGTGCCCAGGCCTGAGTTCAAGCCCCAGGACTGGCAAAAAAAAAAAAAAAAATTAGTAAGAAAAAATTATAAGGGTCAAAACATTGCCATCCTTCTTATTTTGCTAAGTAACATCTTTGACAAGTGAGTAATTCACTATTATAATCATTTTACTTAAAAAAATATTTTTGATATCAGAAGCGAAAGCTTCAGAGCTGGATGTAGCATGTGCAATGCCCTGGGTTCCAACCCCGGCACCTCAAAAAAAAAAAAGAATGAAGGAGGGAAAAAAAGGAAGGAGGAGATGAGGGAGGAAAGGGAAGGAAAAAGGACCAAAAAATTTCATGGACAGTTTATATTGTCTTTTAACTATAATTTGGGGAAGCATTATCCACAAGACATAATTGGCTTTGTAATACCAGCCAGTAGTCCCATTTTAGGGCCCGGGGTTTACTGCAAAATGCTTAGGTTTCTCCCCAAACCAGGTCAAGTATAAGAAAAATGAAATATAAACACAAACTCATTCATCTCCATCTTACACTAAGATTTTTTTCTTGTCATCAGTCATCTGAATATGCAGATTTCTGTGCTCTTTGCTTTTTACAAGCCATCCTGTTTAAAGAGGAGTCTTTCTTTTTTCTGTTTTTATAAAAGTGGAATAAGTACATGTGTGTGTTTGTATTTTTTTCCCAAGTTAGTATTTGTCTTCTTCAAAAGTAGAAAGTAGCCAGGTGTGGATAGCTCTTATCTTTACTTCTAGCTACTCGGGAGGCTGAGATCTGAGTATCTCAGCTCAAGCCAACCTGGGCAGTAAAGTCCATGAGACTCTCATTTCCAATTAAACAAAATCCAGAAGTGGAGGTATGGCTCAAGTGGCACAACCTCCGACTTAAGTGAAAACATTAAGGGATGGTACCCTGATCCAGAGTTCAAGCCCCAGCACTGACACACATACACACACACAAAACAACAACAAAACAAAACAAAAAAAGTTAGGAATAAATGTCTGCTGCTTAAGCAGCACGAACTATAGGAGCCAGAGTAAGTAAAGAGTGTATCTTTCTTTTGGAGGTAATGTTGGTATTAGAGATTGAACTCAGGACTTCAAGCTTGACGTCAAGGCAAGGGCTCTATAATCTAAGCCATGCTCCCAGTCCTACAGATGTATATGTTTTCCAAAGATGTATTTTTTTTTCCTGGCTGTGGGGCTTGAATTCAGGGCCTGGGTACTGTCCCTAAGCTTTTTTGCTCAAGACAAGCCCTCTACCACTTTGATCCACAGCTCCACTTGCAGTTTTCTGGTTGTTAATTGGAGATAAGATCTCACTGATTTTCCTGCCCCGGCTGGTTTTTTTTTTTTGGGGGGGGGGGGGAGGGAGGGTCTGGTCGTGGAGCCTGAACTGTGTGCCTGGGTGCTGTCCCTCAGCTCTTCAGCTCAAGGCTAGCACTCTACCACTTGAGCCACAGCGCCACTTCTGGCTTTTTTCTTTTTGCTCATGTGGTGTTGAGGAATCAAATCCAGGGCCTCAGGCATGCAAGGCTAATGCTCTACCACTGAGCCACCTTCCCGCCCTCCCCGGCTGGTTTTGAATTGTGATCCTCAGATCTCAGCCTCCTAAGAATTACAGGTATGAGCCACCAGCAACCCAGCTTCAAGGATGTATCTCTGAGGCCTTTCTACATTTATTGGAGTAGTGAACAATAAAACCGAAGTCAATTCTGAAGTACTCACTCTCCTAGCAGAAGAGGCAGAGAAGGTATTCTGAGTTCGTGATGGTATCTGCTCCATGACGCTACTCTTGTTTTCAGGACTGGAATGGTTGATAGTGGCTTCTGTTTTTTTATCTATCATTTAAGGCAAGAAAAGCAACAAGTCCAAGTGTGAAAAATCTTATCTTTTTGTATATATGTCCTTTGCTACTAACAGAAAAGATTTGCTCATTATAAATGCCTGGACTCAAACTAAGATGAACTCTCTCTAGCAACTATGGGCAGAAGAAAATGAACTCAATAGTATTCCCATCTTGGTAGGCTTCAACTTGAATTTCCAGATGAAAATTGCCTCCATATTATTAGTTATATTGCATAAACATTAATCAGTAACTACTATTATAGATTAGCAGAGGAAAAAAAAGCCAGAAAAAAGTATAGGATAAGCTCTGCTTTCTACATAATTACAATCAAGAAAAAGAGATAAGATACATTACAATCATAAAACAAGATCATTTATACTTTAGGTATTACATTGATTGATTCAGATCATCAAGTGCTACAGGATTTCCTTCTGAGGAAGGAAACAACAAAGAAAGTTGCTTTAACAATCAAGGCTCTCCACAGAAACAACCAGAGTGAGTGAGAAGATAGTGATATTTGGTAGGTGAAGAAGAGAAAAGGGAGTGAGTAATGGCTCAGAATACACATCTGCTGGTGGTGAAGTGGCTCACCTAATTTAAGTAATCAGTATTCTTGGAATTACAATAGAAAATAAAGGAAGAAAGGATTGCAGAGGAAGGTTAATTGCAGGTTAAGTTGGACTCAGAATAGAAATAGGAGTGATCTATTACAATAGAGTCATCAATCAGAAAGTGTATCTATTTAATTTATTGCTGCATACTAAATAACAAGCGTAGTGCCTGTACCTAGTCCCTATGGATCTGGCCTATATATTTTGGTTCTTTTTTTTTTGGTCAGTCGTGGGGCCTGAACTCTGGGCCTGGGCACTGTCCCTCAGCTCTTCAGCTCAAGGCTAGTGCTCCACCACTCGAGCCACAGCACCACTTCTGGCTTTTTCTGTTTATGTAGTGCTGAGGAATTGAACCCAGGGCCTCATGCATGCAAGGCAAGGACTCTACCACTGAGCCACCTTCCCAGCCCCCTGTCTATATATTTTGGAAAGAGAGATCCAGAGTAACCTACCCATGAATTATATGACAATTTAAAGCCACATCTTAATTTTGTGATATTAGCAAAGTTACTTATCCTATTAGAACCTGTATTTCCTTATTGCTGTATCAGATTTTTAGTTCTTACTTTTTCACTTTGGCTTTTTTTGAGATTGAGTCTTGCTATGTAGCCTACTCATGCTGGCCTCACACTCATCATCCTCCTGCCTCGGCCTGCTCAGTGCTGGGATGACAGGTATGTCGTCCTGGCTCATAGATTTTATAAAGAGAAGAGCTAAAACTATTTTTTTATCTGTGGATCTTTAAAAATGGGACCAATGCATTCAACAAATATTTGTTCAGGACATGCATATGTGGCAGGCAACATCTGGAAATGTTCTCTTCTTCCAACATATTTATTGAGCACCTACCACAGAGAAGGCCTTGTACTAAGCAGATAAGCCACAGAAAGATAAAGAAGATAGAAAATATATTCAAGTGTTTCCAAAGTTTGCCAGTAGGTGGACAGCAGAAGGGGATGGTGGTAATAATAATAAGCAACAAGAGAAAAGTAATATAAAAGAAGTTCAAACAGATAGCTATAAAAGTTAAAGAAGGGAATAAAACCATGTAGCTATCCTGTAAGGCTTCATAAAGGACACTGATTGAGCTGGGCTTTGGAACATGAATAACATTTCAGTTGGCAGAGAACTAGAGAAATGAGTAGGGCAGCTCACTGGAACCATCTGGCTACTGCCCACACCAGACTACTGAAACTGCTCTCTAGGATTACTAGTGACTTCATCCTTAAGCTCTCCCTTCTCACTATTGCCCTGATTCTTGAGGAGGAAATACCTGTCCTATTGTTCTCCTTCTCTGCCCCCTTCATTGATTCATCGTTACTTCCTAAAAACATTTTGCCCTGAGATTCTTCCTTATACCTTTATCTCTAAAATCTGTCCTCTTACTTATGCAGATAGGAAGTGGTGCTGTGGCTCAAGTGGTAGAGCACTAGCCTTGAGCTGAAGAGCTGAGGGATAGCGCCTAGGCCCAGAGTTCAAGCCTCATGACTGACAAAAACAACAACAACAACAAGCTGATGTATTTATGCAGATAACTTCAACTAGTTCTCTACTTCTCTGAGGAATTCCAACCAAATTCAAGAGCTCTGGCATGTCTCATGCTAACTAGGAAGCCTAATTCACTTAACCTCATTCAGTATTAATTTCCATTCTAAAAAGTGGTATTAATAACATGACTTCAAAGTATGGCTGTAAAGATTAAATTGTTTAAGTGCACTGCAAATGAAAAATAACTATACAGATATGAAATTTGACTACAATTACCTGAACTAGATAGAAACCTTCTTACTAGTGAATACCACTGATTGAATTATTTTTTTTCACGGTATACATGTGTATGTCTTTCTATTCCTCTACTAGATATATTACAAAAAAAAACATTTAATGTATATGAATGCATGTCATGTGCCAGGAATTGTGCTGAGCCCTTCATTAGAATAACATACCCAGTCTCCCCACATAAAAATGAAGAGTGTTCAAACAAAAATAAGTGAGTAATGTTAGAGGAACACAAAAGAGGGAAGTAATGAGCATAGGCAGGGAAAAGGAAAGGGCCTGCTACAAATATGAAGTGCCCTCAAGTCGGTGGCTCATGCTTATAATCCTAACTACTCAGGAGGCTGAGATTTGAGGATCGTGGTTCAAAGCCAGCCTGAGCAGGAAAGTCTGTGAGACTCTCATTTCCAATAAACCACTCAGAAAACTGGAAGTGGCTCAAGTGTAGAGCGCTAGCCTTGAGCTGAAGAGCTAAAGGACTGTGCTCAGGCCCAGAGTTCAAGTCCCACGACTGACAAAAAAAAAAAAAAAAAAAAAGTGCCCTCAAAAGTTTCATGTGATGATGGGGCTGGGAAGGTGGCTCAGTGGTAGAGTCCTTGCCTTGCATGCATGAGGCCCTGGGTTCGACTCCTCAGCACCACATAAGCAGAAAAAGCTGGAAGTGGAGCTATGGCTCAAGTGGTAGAGCACTAGCCTTGAGCTGAAGAGCTGAGGGACAGTGCCCAGGCCCAGAGTTCAAGCACCATGACTGGCAAAAAAAAAAAAAAGTTTCATGTGATGAAGGCTTGGTCCCAAGCTAGTGGATTGTAATCATTGACTGGACCCTGAGAACTCTGACATCATCAATGAATAAATCCCTAGATCGCTTCATAATTTGATGGCTTTAATGGGAATTAGTGGGCAGTGGGGACTGGGTGAAGAAAGTAAAAAGTATCTAGTCCTTATCCTCTTTCTCGCTTCTAGTTGTCATGGGATAGGTGAATAGCTCTTCTCCATCATACCCATCTGCCACCAAGATATCTGCTTCACCACAAGCCCAGAAGCAGGGCCTGCCAACTTTGGACTAAAACCTTTGAAAATGTAAGCCAAAACTAATCCTTTCTCCTGCTTCTCCCAGGTATTTGTCACTTAGAAATAAACATTAACCAATGCAGGGTCCATTCTTTTTTTTTTTTTTTTTTGTCGGTCGTGGGGCTTGAACTCTGGGCCTAGGCACTGTCCCTCAGCTCTTCAGCTCAAGACGAGCACTCTACCACTTGAGCTACAGCGCCACTTCCGGTTTTCTGGTGGTTTATTGGAGATAGGAGTCTCACTGTCTCTTCTGCCCGGGCTGGCTTTGAACCACGATCCTCAGATCTCAGCCTCCTGAGTAGCTAGGATTACAGGCGTGAGCCACCAGCGCCCAGCTTGCAGGGTCCATTCTTTTCAATATCCTATACCACAGAAACCTAAAGAAACAATTTTTTTGGCTGCTAGATTCTATATCTTCTAAGAAAACTCACTCTACAAACATTTGATAATCAGAAATTAATTTTTTTTGGGGGGTCCGGTTGTGGGGCCTGAACTCTGGGCCTGGGCGCTGTCCCTCAGCTCTTCAGCTCAAGGCTAGTGCTCTACCACTTGAGCCACTGCGCCACTTCTGGCTTTTTTTTTCTTTTTGCTTATGTGGTGCTAAGGAATCGAACCCAGGGCTTCATACATGCAAGGCAAGCGCTCTACTACTGAGCCACCTTCCCAGCCTTCAGAAACTAATTTTAAGGCATAAAACATCCAGGGGCTGCTTTCACTGTATTTCATGTCGGTATAATTTGTGGAGTGGAAGGGGAAAAACAAATTGTTTAAATAGGGATACAGGTGGACCCATTGCAACAATGAGATGTACAAGTCATTATGTCCAAAACGAACATTACAATTTTGGGGGGGGGGGTGCAGGATGACTGGGGGGGACAGGGGGAGAATGGGAAGGGATGGGAAGGGGAAACAAAGGAGAAGGCTACAATGCTTGATAAGAAATGTATTCATTATCTTGCCCATGTAATTGTAACCCCTCTGTACAGTATTTTCACAATAAAAAAAATAAAAAATAAACATCCAGGGGCAGGAAAACTCAGTTTATAGTTGAGGAAATCAAGCAATCCAGTTTGGCTACAATATGTTCTTGCTAGTATGTGGCATGGGAAAAGTCAGCTAGATCTGGATTACAAAAGACCTTGAAGGCAAAACTACAGGGTTTGAGATTTACTTTGCAGACACTGATGGAATGAGGAAGATGTCATGGAAATTTCTGAATAGAGGTATACCTTAATCATAAGGATCAGTATTTGAGTCTAATAGCAGCATAGAGATAAGCTTCAGGGAACAACAGCTAAGCATGGGTACAAATCATGAAGCATAACAGTAGTTTGGGCAGCTTCTTCCCACACTTTTCAGATACCAAAAGTGATGTGGCATAGAGCAAACACAGCTATTTTTTTTTTTTTTTTCTGGTCAGTTGTGGGGCTTGAACTCAGGGCCTGGCCGCTGTCCCTGGGCCTCTTTGTGCTCAAGGCTAGTGTTCTACTCAATATATAATAAAAAACGCATATTTATAATTTTGAAGATGTAACACTAAAATTTCTAGAATAAGCTATACCTGATTAGTAAGAGAAATTCAAATCTCAAAGAACACAAGGCCATCTATTTTAGGGCAAACTTAGCTGGTGCCTGCCTTCTCTACAGAACTGGTGGTCTCTAACTTCCTTTGGTGATATTCAATGAGCCACAGATTTAGAGATGATGAAGGACAGTATTCTCCTGTGATTGAGAGAAAAAGTGTCAGCAAAGCCAGACTTCACCATAAGCTGGGACCCAGACAACCGAGTAAGTAATATGCTTCCATTATGGGTAAGCCAGGTATGGCAGAGTTCGGAGAAGAACATACTCCATTATAATTTCTCCTCTAACTTGGTCTTCTAGCTGGAAACATCTCCTCTTACTGTGAACTCTATTCTGAAGGACAATACCAGTGAATGCAGTGTATATGTGCTATAAACTCATAGCTTATCATTTCTTTCCAATTATCTGAGAAATATCTTATTGGGAGTTGAATCTATTCAGTAAAATCCAGTACTGTATTCTTTTTGCCTGCATATAAATCATAACTTATGGTTTTGATTGCCCATGTTCGGTACCTAATGCTTGTTAGATAGTTCTTGATTTGTCAGACAATGAATTTAAGAAGTTCTATATGCTGCAGAGCCCTTCATATCCGCAGCTTCAATGTCTGTGGATTCAACTAACTGTGGATGGGAAAATACTTGGAAAAATACCTGAACCTGTGATGAACAATTTCTTTTCTTATCATTTCTTGAGCAACATAGTATTAACACCTATTTACCAAAAAATAGCCGAGACATGATTTAAAGTATTCAGGAGGGTATGCACAGATTATATGCAAATACTGTGCCATTTTATGGAAGGAATTTGAATAATCATTTTGGTGTTGATTCTGAGGAAACTGTATATGTTATTAGTAAAAGTCACAAAGGTAAATACAATTTTGTTACTCAAACTCCCACTCAAGATTGGAAAGAGCTTCAAATAATGAGAAGGGGGGAAAAGATTGCAGGATTCTGGTTAAGGAACCAAACTAACCCAAGGACTAAACATAAATTTCCCCCAGTTTGTTAAAGCATGTGACTGAAGGTGCCTCTACAAGATCTCTGTCTCTCAGCACACTGACTTTCTAAATCCTGTCTGCTGGCTGCATATGAACTGATAAGTAGAATTTAACATAGCTTACAGCTTTTATAACCAAGTTGTCATGAGTAATTTGATCTCTTGCCCTTGAAAACTGAACTTCAAGTTTTTGGGGAGCCCTGGCCAGCTCTGTGGCAAGCAGCAGAAATGAAGGTCTCTGCTGTGATCATCTGTGTATTACCTGCCTCCTTCTCAGTTTCTGACTCAGAAGCTTCATCTTCACCTTCTTCCTCTGAACTGGAACTGCTAGATTCTTTATTTTCTTCCTCTATTTCTTGTGATTTGGGTTGCTCTTCTTCATAAAGCATTTTCTCTTTGCTAAATTAAAGATATGATTCAAAAGTAATTCAGAAAGTACCATCTTTTCAAGTTCATGGACAATCAGGTATACTAATGGGAATAAAGCTATACATCTCTATATAAAAGTAATACAGGGCTGGGAAGTTGGCTCAGTGGTAGAATGCTTGCCTCACATGCATGAGGCCCTGGGTTCGATTCCTCAGCACCATATAAGCAGAAAAAAGCCAGAAATGGCACTGTGGCTCAAGTGGTAGGGAGCTAGCCTTGAGCTGAGAGCTGAGGGACAGTGCCCAGGACCAGAGTTCAGGCCCCATGACCAAAAAAAAAAAAGTAATACACGCAGAAACACAGGTTCCTCGTTGCATCTGTGCATTCTTCTGAACCCTAGGTTTTCTGAAGATGAAAGTTTGAGGACTGACGATATGTCAAAACTCATGCTAGGCACTACAATAGTAGTAAACAAAAAAGAAATTAAACTCACAATGTAATAATGGGAAGCCAATGGACTAAAAATGCCCACGCTCCATTTCTATGTATAAAGGACATTCATCTGTCCTCAGTGTTTTCCCTACCCTTATTAAAGCCATCACCTTGCATTATAAACTTTCCTACATGTTTGAAGATTACTTGGCTAGAGTCAAAGACTAAGGCTTTCACTATGTAAACTCTTAGCATGTCATTCCATATAACCAGGCTTATGCTACATAGCCTAGTTTATGCCTTACTTCTTGAAGAGTCTACTCTGCATCTTGCTGTTCAGGTCTGATTCAATGAGTTTATTCCGTGTTTCCTTTTCACTTCGAAGCTGGAAATTGAAAAAAAAGAGAAAATGGACAAAGTTAACTACAGCAATATTGAAAAGAACCAAAGTGGTTCTTTTCTGAAAAAACAAAAACAAAAACAAAAAAAACAGGACTAACACCCAAGGGGCAATATGAAGACAATCTGAGAAAAATCAGATATACTTTAGTTAGTTCTCCTTAGAATAAAATGACAAAGGAAACCCCTTACCCAAGGTAGAAGAGAAAAAATATAGTATCAGAGCTTTAAGAGAACTGTTCCCCTCAAATATCCAAACCCAGTCTTGAAAAAATAAGCCTTGCTTCTGAAGAATTTGGAAAGAAATTTGGAGGAACTTGGAAAGAAATCTTTATGATCCAAACACTGGGACATGATGGCAGTATTTCTAAGGAAACCACAGGTACCAAATGGGAAATAAGCCCTTAGGAAAAAGTGCTAGACAAAATGTATTTATATCCCTGGAGCATAAAGTTATGCAAGGGACAAAGATACATGACATTTTTATACATCATTCTATTGGTGGGTAAAAATCATTTGACCAAGATGTTACATCTAAACCTAGATATGTTAGGTTTAAAAAACTAGCTATAAAAATTATACATCTTACCCCTCTGTACAGTATCTTTACAATAAAAAAAAAGTATACCTCTTGTCTGAGGCAGGTAATCCAATAAGTAACAATACTAATACTGTATTTGCAAAGTTCTAGCTTTTAGTTATCCCAATTGCTTAAAAAAGAAAGTAAAATGAGTTGTTTAATCTATAAAATGATTTGTTTAAGCTTAAAGAACAAGAAGCCTTAGGCATAATGCTGAATACACCTGAGATTAGACATACTAGTCTGTCCCATCATTGATAGTTCTCTGATCCAGAAACACTCTATTTCCCATATTTGTCCTAAACTTAAGTTCACATACCCTGTGCCATATCATATACAATTGAAAAGCAATAAAGGCAAGCCAGTGATTTTCTTCTGTCCTACCCTGTTGTCATTGATCTTTATTCTCCTTGCCCAAATCACTCATTCCCCTTTATGGGCTGTATACTGAGGGTGGTTTTCTATTCTGCAGTTTGTTTAGGGGCACCATGTTTATGTAGTTCTTCTGTCGAGTGCTAAGCAAACTGTTACATGCAACTAAACAATAAAGGATCTAAAAGAATAAAGAAGGCTGAATTCTGTATGTTTCATAAACCTGAAATAAATATGAATCACTGACCCACTACTGCCCAATACCAGGTGACAGTTTTAGAAAAAATTGTTTTTCTTTGTAACCAATGTACCTCAAATAAAAACATCATTTAGTCAGTAAGAAAAAAAATTCTATTAGATGTACTCTACTCTGATATTCCTTATTGGGGAAAAAACACTGATTTGAGCATGCTCCTTTTCTAGAACATGAGGGTAATTACTAGGTTTCTCTTGTTATTTTTAACTTTTAGCTGATTGAAGGCTATCTTACAATGAGCAAACTTCAATAATGTTTTTTGGAATACAGTCTTCTAACTGTTGAAATCCTAACTAAAGCAAGTAATTGAGGTACTCAGTGTGAACAAAAAAAAAACTGTTAGAAAAGCTTTAAAAGCATCCACTCGAGACTCACCACATTCTGCTTCTTCTGGAGCATCTCCAAGTGCTCCACAAGACCCTCATCAGCCACATCAAATGGTGTCTGGCCCTGGAAGAGAAAAGGGACAGATAGAAAACAGAAGTAGCAGTCATGTGACTTTATCTGGAATTATTCAATATTAACATTCTGCCTTTGATTCAAATGATACAAGCTATCTCTTATCTGAAATACTTACAACCTAAACTCTTTTCAGAATTTTCTAATGTTTGAGTATTTGCGTATACGTAAGATATTTGAAGGATAGACTCCAAGGGTAAATGCAAAATACACTTATGTTTCATATAGACCTCATTCACATAGACAAAGATTATTTTTGTACAAGATTTCAACAATTACAATATTTCAAATAATTTTGTGCTATCCTGGTTTAGAATTTTCTGCCTGGGACATCATGTCAGTGCTTAAAAAGTTTCAGATATTGGAACACTTAAGATTCAGATTTTCACATTAGGGATGCTCAACCTATATCTGCTTCTCTGTTAGTTTACCCTCCATTAGGATGCTTTCATCTATCACAGAGAATATATTACAAGAAACAATCCTTTAAATGTAGAGTTTTATATTTTGGAAAACAGAAGCAAGGAAATCATGCCATTCCTAATGTATACTACCTCTTGGCAAATAAGAGTAATTCCTACTTGTACTTATTTTAAAATCTTCTTTAAAACCTCAGAGAAAGGTGTAGGGTACATGTGCATTAAACATTAGTTAACAAGAATCATCTGAGAAGGACAGTAGGGAGGTATTTGTTTTAAGGAATATCAGCACAATTAAGGCCCTAGCCCATAGTCTGAGAACAAGAGCTAGGTTCAGGAGCGATGTGAGGCAGACAACCTCCACTAATTAAAAGACATGTGTCCAGATTCCTAGGAAATCAAGAGATTTATCAGGGGATAAGCATCCAGAGCTTCTAAGTTGCTTGATGTGAGGCTGAATAATACTGTTTTCAGCCAACTGAAGTATGTTTGTTGTTAGAACATTTCTAAACGACTTAATATGAATAGGGCTCATATATCAAAAAAAAACTTTGAATCAAAAAGGAGTAAACATTTTCATATCTCATTATAGATAGTAACTTTAGGCCCCCTCCTCTCTCATGTGTGTGTGTGCACACACATGCACATGGGCACATACATACTGGTCCTGGGACTTGAACACAGAGCCTCAACTTTTTTGATCAAGGGTAGTGCTCTACCACTTGAGCCACAACTCCACTTCCAACTTTCTGGTGGTTAATTGGAGATAAGAGTCTCATGGAGACTGTCCTGCCTGAGCTGGTTTTGAACGGCAATTCCCAAATCTCAGCCTCCTGAGTTGCTAGGATTATAGATAGGTGTGAAGCACTGGTTCACCAGCTAGGCCTCTCATTTTTTACCAAGTACAATCTTTTTATTTCCTGTTTGCTTTAAGGACTTCAACATAAATAGAATCAGTTGACTAAGTAATGAACCTTCCTAGCAAACATACCTCTGTGTTGATAACAGGGGTAGAGGCAGGGAGGTGGAAGGCAACACCACCGCTACCAGAGATGGGTATTTTCCTGGAGCAGTCACCTATCTCATTGTCCTCTTACAGGCTCAGGCATACTAACCAGTTTGTTCCGGATATCCATGTTGCAGAGTGCTTCTGCCAGGATGGAGCAGGCTTCCTTCACTCCCCAGTGTGCAGCAGCATGGAGAGGAGTCCAGCCATCATGATCCTGAACATTGAGTTCATACCCAGCCTGAATTAAAAGTCTGAGAAGAAAACCCCCAAAGAATACATTTAGTGCCTTGATTTCATAGTTTCCTGTCAAATATGCTATTATCCAATTGTTATTTCACATATGGGTTGTGACTCACAAAGGTTACAGGTACCAGCCTTCTAAGGCATAGCTCTGGTTTCACACTACTTTCAGCACCAAAAGTAAGTTATCTATACCAATCTTCACCAAAAGGTCACATGCTACACCATACAAAGAATGTGTATGAACAGGTATATACCTGAGATTAACCGAAGTCTAATTCAATTAGCCAAATCACATTACTCTATTACAGGACATGATTTCCATTTTCCAATGCAGGGAAGAATTCACATATAAACAAGTGTTTGAATTTCTTTAGAGCACTTTATCCGCTAGCTTTCATGTGGGTCTTTCTGGAACATTAAATATTTATTGTAGAACCTCATACTTTCAACTTTGTAAAGTATCTTCAAGGTATTCTTTTCTTTAAATTTTATTTTATTTTGTTGTAAAGGTGATGTACACAGAGGGTACAGCTACATAAGTAAGGTAATGAGTACATTCCTTGTTGAACATTGTTATCCTCTCCCTTGTTTTTCTCCCACTATCCCACCCCCAACTCCCTCCTCTGTAAAGTATTCTTGCTAACTATAAAGCTATAAGTGAACTTGTATCCATGTTATGCAAAAGGAAAGATACAACTCTGGAAGCCCCACACTGCACTTCACTGGTTGGGGCCCATTACCATGGGCCCAAAGACATCTTTCAAGAACTGAGCAGAGGATAAATGTCACAGCTAGGCAGAAGCTGAATACCAATATACTAGAAATCCTCACACTTACTAGAAAGCCATTATTGGGTTGACTATATAGCACTAAGGAGTCCAGTACATATAACACCATTAGCAAACCCTGTATTGGGGGAAGCCTGTCAATATTAAGCACTCTTAAGAGGTATATAAAGCATTCATATGTGTAAGTAAAAATGGAACAGGCAAAGAATCCACATCTCTCATGTAACTTTGACTGTCCTGCTCTAGCTAGACATTGCACACTCAAGATCAATATATTTGATCCAATGAGTCCAAAAAAAAATCAAAAAGGACCAAAATTATCACTATTAGGCATTTATATAAAAGATTACAAATCAGGATACAATAAAGCCACTTCTACAACCATGTGTACTGCTGCACTATTCACCATAGCCAATGTATGGAAACAGCCCAGATATTCCTCAATGGACAAGTGGATCAAGAAAATGTGGTATATATACATAATGGAATTTTATTCATCCATTAGGAAAAATAATATTACACCATTTGCAAAGAAATGGATGGACCTAGAAAAATAATCTTAAGTGAACTAAATTAGGCCAAGAAAGACAAAGAACACATATTTTCTCTCATATGTAGAAGCTAGAACCAATTTATAAATATACAAGTAAACATACATGGAATTGTATGCAAGTGTTCACAAATGTATTAATCAAAGTATGATATTTGCAGGGAAGAATTCAAAAGGTGTAATTCCTTAGAAAAGTAAACTCACAGTCAAACAAAATCAGTACCAAGAAACTGATACTTGAAAGGTGTGGGATGAAGGTGGGGGAGGGGGGGCGCAGACGAATGAAGAAAGGAAGGGGGTGTACAGTTATAATATTCAATGCATATGCCATAAAACTAAGAAAATTGAGGGGATGGATCGGGTTGGAAGGAATGGGGGAGAATGATGAAAGAATGACATCATTCAAGATGTACTGTACTTTATAAATTTATTTGTTGAATAACTCATTTGTTGAATGTATAACTGGAGATTATAAAACTATAATTTCCAAAATTAAAAAGGATCAAGATGATCACAGATCTGTCCTGTATGACAGGCCATAAGAGGAGACTACAGAACATTGATGACAAATTCATAGTTAGAAAATGTCTTAGAAAGTCCCTTCCTAGGCAAGTGTACCTCACCTCTGTTTCATATCATACATGTCAGAAAGAAGCTAGAGGGATGGTAAGAAGTAGGGGAGATCATCCATGAGGAAACACTAGCAAAAATGTGAGGAAAATCTGCATAATCATTGAAAATTTAATTCACCTCTACTTCCAACTCATCTTTTCCTGGTAAACAAAATTCTTATTTTATGTAAATGGTCATACCTGAGGACTTCAGAGTAGCCTTTGGCAGCAGCCACATGCAGAGCTGTGGCCCCTGAGCGAGCCTGCTTCACATCCTCTATTTTCCCGCTGTTGAGCCACTGGCGGGCATCCTGCAACATCTGTTGCTCTTCTTCCTTCCTTGATTGCTCTAGATCAACTCCTACAGAAGCCAGATAGCAGACATCATTACTAAACCTCCACTAAGTCTAACAGGGTATTTTAAATATCATAACTTTTACCACAAAGGTTAGTTCACTGTCATCAAATTGCATATTCATCCATTTAGAAAAGCAAAGAAATTTGTAAACATACTAGTTGTCTAATATGTATACAGGGTTTAAATCACCAGGCTCAATATTATGGAATGCTGACCCATTAAGGGAACATACTAACTATGTTTTGTTCATTATTTTCAATAAAACATAGAAATCAGAGGATTCATTATGTGTACCTTATAATATTTGTACAAAGCCATAAACTTCAAGGTACTTTCAGATATTCCAACAATCTTCTGAGGTAAATATAATGGTTACTATTATACCCACTTATCAGAAAAGAAAAGAAATACAGAAAAATTAAGTGCTTTGTCTTAAGGCTCCAAAACACATTAGTGTCAGAGCTGCATTAAAACTCTGATATTTTGATCCTGTCTGCTTTTCTTTATTGTTCTCTACACCGTAACACTGGTATAAAAAAATCTTGCTTTCAAGTATGACACACTTAACAACAATGAACTATCCCTAAAGCTTGTTTCCTGAAGCTATCTACAATAATCTAGAGATGAATGGGTGATCTATAGTTAAAAAAAAGTCTGCTTTCAAGGCAATACAGTTTATTTCTTTTAAAAAGCATTATGGAGAAACTCAAAAGAATTATTCTCGCCGGGCGCTGGTGGCTCACGCCTGTAATCCTAGCTACTCAGGAGGCTGAGATCTGAGGATTGCAGTTCAAAGCCAGCCCGGGCAGAAGAGACAGTGAGACTCCTATCTCCAATAAACCACCAGAAAACCGGAAGTGGCGCTATAGCTCAAGTGGTAGAGTGCTCGCCTTGAGCTGAAGAGCTGAGGGACAGCGCCCAGGCCCAGAGTTCAAGCTCCACGACCGACCCAAAAAAAAAAAGAATTATTCTCTTAAGCCAACAACTCTAATATATAATGCAGTGAAGAGGGGTTCACCACATTATATTCTTTATTGCATAAAGTAGGTCCCAGATACCAAAACATCCACTCAGAGTTTACACTCACTAGTGGTCTTTATCTATCTCCCTATCAGCTTCAGTAAAAATCAATGAATTACCTGTTTTATTTGTATGATTCAGGGAGGTGGATGGGGTAAAAAGGAAACCTATTTAGAACATAACAGCCCTCCATACACGAAGGAGAGTTAATAGCACAGTGGAGGTAAATGTACATATAAAATGCTACTCCAATAGAGCACGTCCATAGGAGAGTGTCTATCTGAGCAGAAAAGGTACAATTTCAAACCAAAAAATTCTTAAGAGGGCTGGGAAGGTGGCTCAGTGGTAGAGTGCTTGCCTTGCATGCCTGAGGCCCTGGGTTCGATTCCTCAGCACCACATAAGCAAAAAGAAAAAAAGCCAGAAGTGGCACTGTGGCTCAAGTGGTAGAGCGCTAGCCTTGAGCTGAAGAGCTGAGGGACACTGCCCAGGCCCAGAGTTCAGGCCCCACGACTGGACCAAAAAAAAAAAAAAAAAATTCTTAAGAATTTTGTTTTAAGATAGTTATTTGCAGCTAGACACCAGTGACTCACACTCATATGAGGCAGTAGAAACAGCAGCTGTCTGTCAAGAGCATCTTCTATTAAGGCCTTCTATAAAGGGTCAGATATTAGGTATTTCCAGGTTTGCTGGTTATTGGTTTATCAAAATTGCCTGAGTCTGTTGTGATAGAACAAATGTAGCTTTGGACTTTAAAAGCTTATCTGGAGGTTGTAGTACAGAAGCATAGCTACTATCATACCCTTAACTGAAAACTGATTCTCCTCTATCAGGGAAGGTCACTTTCAGCTGAACTCACAGCCTGGGTTGGGACACTAACCTAACCAACCAGATCAACCAAATCAACCATGGCAATTGGTGGGTAGCAGATGTTGCAGCCAGATAACACCCACACCAACAACTCTGAATAATATATAAACAAATGGGCATAGATTTAGCCTGACCTAAAAGATTATATCAACAAAGATCATTGGAGCTAAATCTTTTGGGACAAACTACATATTGTGAATAAGACTGAGTAGCAAAACACCAGCTTGGAAATCATGTCTAGAGTTTTGTAATGATTCTGGCAATATTCCGGTTCACTACAGTCTAAATAACTACAGTTATTTAAATTTTTTAATGAAAAGGACAATAAGAAAAAGTTTCTCCAGTTGGAAAAAATTCCATCCTATTAATTAATTAATCCTATTGAGGAACCTAAGCAACTCCATTTTACTTAAGACCCCCATCTCAGTTCTGCAACTTAACCCTTGACCCACTTCAGCCCCAATGCCTAGAATTATGATATCTGAAACTCCAGAACAGCCCCTCGTAGGGTTTGGTGACCATTATTTAAACCAGACACCCTGCAGTTTAGCACCTATCCTCTTGAGACTCCCCTGTGGTACAAGCCAACCAGTTTAAAGTATGTCAGCCCCCTTGATCTAACCAACTTGTTTCTGGTCCTTTCCCGCTTTGCAGTACGCCAATCATACTATAGAGTTGTTTTATGATTTTCCCACGGTTTGTAGTGATTTGTTACAAGAAGTTACGATGTACGCAAAGCCCTTGGCATTCCCTAAAAAAGTGTATAAAAAGTGCTGTAACCCTAGGCTCGGGGCCTCTCAAAGTCATAGGCTGCTGCCATGTGCACGGGGGGACCAAGCTTGAGCTTGCAATAAAGACTCTGGTGGTCTTTTGGGTAAGGATTTACAAATTCGGCTTTACACTATTAATTCATCTAAAACCATAAAATAAAAAATAAGCATTTAAAAGTGTATTCTTCTAAGTCAGATCCCTCATCTTAATAAACTACAAAATAATTTTCATGGATGGTATGGATAAAGGTCACTTCAGATGTTGCAATAAATTTCTTTCTGTACCACCTTTAGTTCTCTTTGCATCAAGAAAAAAAGATGCAAAGTCAAAAAAAAATGAAGTTGGCCCTCTACATCCCATCCTTTCTTTAGATTTCTACAGTGTGCAGCAGATCTAATGTAATGTTCACACACAATAAGGAGTGTTTGCACTCCTCCTAACTATATGATGGGTAAACAACCTCAGACAGTAAAAACAAGGAATGACTGCACATTCTCTGGCATTTGGCCTCTTCTTATGTGAGTTATTAGGACTAATGCTCTGCAGAACTAATCCTCTCCTGTCACATGATCATCAAAAGCTCTATAAAACAAACAGATTATATTCCGTAAGGGACAGTGAAAGAGCCTCTCCTTAACAGCCCAATTCCTTCCGTTACCTTGCTTCTTCACTTGTTCCAGAAGAAGATCTTTCATGGCTGGCTCTTCTGCAAGGTCAGAGGGGACTTCACCTTCACTATTTACAATTCCCACACTGGCTCCATGGTTAATGAAATACCTGTACAACAAGATCCAGAATCAATATTATCTTTGTCAGTCTAATATCAGTTTTTCCCTCATGTATTAGGAGTTCAATGCACATCAAAGCATGTTTTAGGGGTTTATATATGGTCCCAGAAAAAGTGCTTTATTATTATTTTCTAAATCTTAGCTGGGACTCCAGGTTTCTCCACTTCCTGACAAAAGCAATGTCAATACCAGGATAGCTTTTATTTATTTACCTTTATTTTTATTAGAATATATTGCAAAATAGGTTTCATTGTGATATTTCCACACATGCATATAATCCATCCTTTACTATACTTTCTCATTCTCCAACCCTTGCCTTTTTCAACAATTTTTCAGGGAGAGGCAGAACTGAAGTTTGAACTCAGGACCTCATGCTTACTAGGCAGACATTTGACCACTTGATCCACCAATGATGTGCATTTGGTCACTTTTTATAATTATTATTTAGTATTTTTGGTGCCAGTCCTAAGGTTTAAATTCAGGGCTTAGGTGCTGTCTCTGAGCTTTTTTGCTCAAGGCTAGAAGCTCTACCACTTAGGCCACAGGTCCACTTCCACACTTGTGTGTATGTGTGTGTGTAATTAATTGGAAATAAGACTCTCAGGATTTCCTACCTGGGCTGGCTTCAAACTGCAATCCTCAGATCTCAGCCTCCTGAGTAAGTAGGATTAAAGCATGAGTACCAGCACCCAGCTTTGCCTTGGTTACTTTTTGAGGTAGGGACTCTCTTGCCTTATGCCAGGGTCTGCCTGGATTGTATCCTTCTCTTGGTGCTTCCCCAAAATTGCTGGAATGACAGATTCATCACCACCATGCTTATCATTGGTCAAAATGGAGTCTCCTCCCACCTTTTTTTTTTTTATATTGCTTGGGCTAGTCCAACCTTGAACCCCTAATCTCAATCTCCCAAGTAGCTAGGATTACAGGCTTGAGATATCATACTCAGCTTTTTAAAAACTTTTAGCTGGCTTCATTATTCCATTTTCATACATGTGTATGAAGTACATATGTACTTATTTGATCATATTCACCTGTCTTTACCCTTGCCTCTTCCTCACATTGCTATCCTTATCTTATATGCCTGTCATTCTTTAAGATCCAGATTCTGCCAATGAGGAGAATATTAGATTTTTATCTTTCTCAGTCTGCCTTATTTCACTTGACATAATGACTTCCAGTTCCTTCCATTTTCCTAGGATTTCTTTTATACTCATAATCCTACCTGCTTCTCACTTCTAGTGGATAGCAAGTGACTTTTTAAATACCGTAAGAGAAGGCATGCAGCATTTTAAAAAATTACTCACTATCAGCCAGGTGCCAATAGCTCATGCCTATAATCCTAGCTACTCAGAAGACTGAGATCAGAGGATCACAGTTCAAAGCCAGCCCAGGCAGGAAAGTCTGTGAGACTCTAATCTCCAATTAACCACCAAAAAAAAAAAAGAAGATAGAAGTGTAACAGTAGCTCAAGTGGTGGAAGGCAGAGCAACACTCAAGCCTTCAGTTCAAGACTGGTATGTGCCTGCACACATATGTACTTGTATGCGCATACACATGCATGCACACACACACAATCCACTCCAAATAAGGTTTCCATTCTGTACTTGCAATATTAGGACTGAAAAGCAGCCTCTAGATGCTAATTAAATAGATCATTCTCAAGAAAACTTTTCCAGTCGGGCATTAGTGGCTCATGACTGTAATCCTAGCAACTCAGGAGGCTGAGATCTGAAGATTGCAGTTCAAAGCCACCCTGGGCAAGGAAAGTCCGTGAGACTCTTTTTTTTTTTTTTTTTTTTGGGTCCATTCATGGGGCCTGAACTCTGGGCCTGGGCGCTGTCCCTTAGCTCTTCAGCTCAAGGCTAGCGCTCTACCACTTGAGCCACAGCGCCACTTCTGGCTTTTTTTTTATTTTTGTTTATATGGCGCTGAGGAATCGAACCCAGGGCCTCATGCATGCAAGGCAAGCGCTCTACCACTGAGCCATCTTCCCAGCCCCGCGTGAGACTCTTATCTCTAATAAATCACTCAGAAAACTGGAAGTGGCACTGTGGCTCAAGTGGCAGAGCACTCGCCTTGAGTTGAAGAGCTGAGGGATATAGTGAGCAGGTGCAGAGTTCAAGCCCCACAACAGAAGGAAGGAAGGAAGGAAGGAAGGAAGGAAGGAAGGGAGGGAGGGAGGGAGGGAGGGAGGGAGGGAGGGAGGGAGGGAGGGAGGAAGTAAAGAGAGAAAGAAAGAGAAAGATGGAAAGAGAGGGAAGGAAGGAAGGAAAGAAAGAAGGAAAGAGAAAGAGAGAGAAAGAAAGCTTTTCTAATGTCGTTAGTGTTTTAGGTGAGAAAATGGAATAAAGTTGTACACTAAAACTAAACACCACCTCCAGAAAACTGTGCAATAGCTCATCTTTAAAGGAAACTAAATTACTGAGAAGAAAAATTAAAATACTAGATAGATGGATTTTAAATCCACAAAGAATACTCACTTCTGAAAAAGAAAGAGGTACTAATCTAAATACATTATTTTTTCTTCTTTTCAAAGTTCTTTTAATAAAAAATGGCAATATTATGAAGTAGGCAATGTAAGTACAATTACTCTCCTGCTCTAAGAAATTGACAGTCATACATAGTAAGTCCTTTTCTCAAAATTAGACAGCTGACATTTAGCAGAATCTATGGACCCAGTCTTTTGAATTCAATTCTAGTTTCTCTAGGTCAAGCTATTTCTGAATCAATGAGATTCCCAATAATGCTAGAAACTCTATTAAATATTCAGATATATTTAAAGAAAAGCAATAGCCATTTAAATTAAGCTAAATCCAAGTAGCTGAAGCCTATAATCCTAGCTACTTGGGAAGCTGAGAACAGGAGGATTGCATTACAAGGGTGCAGGTAGAAAAAGCTTGTCAGACTCATTTTCAACCCCCATATGCCTATCATCCCAAATTATGTGGGAGGCTGATTGAGAGGATTGCAATAGATACTGGCCAGCCTGGGAAGGAAAAGCCCAAGACTCCATCTTCATGGTGGATGTGGTAATGCACAGTGGTGATCCCAGCAACAACAGGACACTTAAAAGTAGGCAGTTGCAACTTAGGCACAGTTGGGAAGCCAGACCCTATCCTAAAATAACCAATGAAAAACAGTGCTGAAAGTGGGCCTCAGCAGTATCAAGCCAGCCTTGTAGTCATGATGTTCTGAGTTCAAAGAGAAACTTCACAAATTCACTTCAGTCCACTCCAGAATGCAATATACACCATTTAACAATTCAATAAACATTTACTTGCTTACTACTATGTCCAAAGAACCACATTTTAGATACTGTAGGAGATAATGAAAAATTAACATAAGGCAACTGCATTCAAAGAGCTGTCAGAGAAGAAAATATCAATTAAAATTAGATGAAAACCATAATTTTTCTTTGCCAGTGGCCAGTGCTTGGTATATTAGAGCTTTAATAAATATTAATACATAGGTGGATTCCACATAAAGTTCAAAGATATGCATAATTCCTCTGATTTTCAACTGTATTCTTCCTTCCCTCATAGCCTTAAGAAGATAGGACATTTAAAATTCCAAAGAAAATTTCCTCTATCTTAACTTTGTTCAGTACCATCATTTTGCCCATCAAATACACCTCTACTTGCTCCATAGTCAATAGTTCCTTCCTCTGTTTTTATTTTTGCCTCAGGCCAAAGGAACATTCACTGTACCTCCCATACCCTGAAATAAATCAAAACACAAATAGTATACATAGTAAACACACAATAAATGTTGGATTGAATTTTATACTCTCACTAAATAGTGAGAGTATTGTATACTCTCACTTACTATTTCCAAACATATCCTCTTCTTTCTCAGCTCTCCTTTTTAGGAAACCATGTGTCCTCCTTCTGGAAGACTCTTTTCTTTTCCCTTTCATATCTTTCAAGATTGATTTAAAATGCTTTTGCCATCAAGAACCTGTGCCTGTTCTCCCCAACTGAAATTTCTCTCCTTCCTTTAATGTCACCCTCCTACCCCCACCAAACAATAATTCTGAACCTCTAAGTGACATAACTGTACCTTAATACACCTAGACTATCCCTGAAAGCTACTTGAGGACAATCATGTCTTATTCACTATTATCATCACCACGGTATCTGACATTTTCTCTTTTCTGTTGTCATACCATAAGTTACTTTTCAATTAAATGAAACATCTTGACTAGCTTTGCTCTATCATCTATCCATCCCTTTATAGGATTGGGTACAAATGACCCTGCTTCCCCTTTTCCTGATGTGTCCTTTAGTCTATAATCAAAGAGACTTTCAAGAATGTAATCTGGGTCTACCTTTTTTTATTTTCTCCAGTTTGAAAAAAAAATATTTATTTAAATTTCTTCGCACGCATATGTGTTTCATATTTTGTCTTTACAAGGGAAAAAGCATCTCTTTAGTTTTATACTTTATTTATTTATTTTTTTTTGCTGGTCCTGGGGCTTGAACTCTGCCCTTTAGCTTTTCTGTTCAATGCTATTGCTCTACCATTTGAGCCACAGATCCACTTCTGGCTTTTTGTGGTTAATTTTAAATGAGAGTCTGCCCAGACTTTCCTGCCCAGACTGGCTTTGAAACATGATCCTCAGATCTCAGCCTTCTGAGTAGCTGTTATTACAGGCATGAAGCACTGGTGCTGGCTTAATTTTACACTTTTATTTGGCAAGAATAAATGTCAGCCCATGAAGAAGTAGATAAAAGAAGCCTTATAGCTGCCCAAAAGCTCAGAAAAAGCCATTAGCTCAAAATACATGCCCTTCAAAATAAAGCCTTCCTATCCTTACTGATAGCTGATGAATGCTCTTTTTGTCACTATTTTAAGGGAGAAATAAAGGAAAGGAAATGTGTTAAAAATGCAGAATAAACTGGCCTTGGAATAAACTATAAAGACAAATTAGCTATAGGTTAAGCTGCTACTGCTAAGTTAAACACTATAATAAAAATGTAGGATCATCCCAGATAATTATTGTTAAGCCTACACTCAAATTACAATGAGGAAAAATAACTTCTAAGCCTCTCTGTATTTGATGTACCATATTAAGTACAAATATGAGATTAAAAAGATCTTCATGGAACATGAAATAGAAAGCACACGGATTCTTTCTGAAAAATCAATGTATCTTTTATTCATTTTAACTCCTCTGAAAGTTAGATTTCCTAATGGGCTTAAAAATAACAGTATATTATGGCTTATGATTGTAATCCTAGCTACCCAGGAGGCTGAGATACATAGAATCTGGGTTCAAAGCCAACCTTGGCCAAAAAAATAAAAAATTAAAAGGCCTCTGAGACTTTATATCCAAAATAACCAGCAGAAAGCTGGTTCAAGAGGTAGAACACCAGCCTGGCAAGTATCAGGCTGGGAGTAGGGAGGGGGATGGGGGGAAGGAATGAGGACAAGTATAAGGTCTTTAAGACACAAAATTGAAGCCAGACAAGGTAGTATAGATTTGTAATACTAGCACTCAGGAGGCTAGGGCAGTAGGATCCAGTGTTTAAGGCCTGCCTAGGCTAAACAACAAGGTCCTGTCCCCAAAACAAAGCAAAACAGAGATACAAAGGAAAATAGTAAGATCACCAAGAGCTGATTTTATTTAAAACATTCTTCACCGTTCCTAAGGCAAACTGAATATTGTTTTAAAAAATCATGTTATTTTCCTTTGTATAAAAAGGAATGCTCCATATTCTAAATAAATAATGACGGTAAAATAAAAACTTCTATAATAATAATATTATACATAATAAAAGATAAAATGAAACAAGCTATCCTACCACCATGCCACTTCTGCAATGGATTCTGGTCTAGATCACCTCATTCACAGTTAATACAATTTCTAATAATTGATATGAGGAAACAGTAACTAGTAGAATTAATTTCAGGTAACATTTGGATGAGCAGAAGATTGCTGAATTTTTAACTTATTTTTAGAAGAAACCTCAGTTTTAAAAAAAAGCATTATGGGCTGGGAAGGTGGCTCATTGGTAGAGCGCTTGCCTTGCATGCATGAGGCCCTGGGTTCGATTCCTCAGCACCACATAAGCAAAAAGAAAAAAGCCAGAAGTGGTGCTGTGGCTCAAGTGGTAGAGCGCTAGCCTTGAGCTGAAGAGCTGAGGGACAGCGCCCAGGCCCAGAGTTCAGGCCCCACAACTGGACCAAAAACAAAAACAAAAAAAATTTAAAAAAGCATTACAATAATTCTCTATACTTGGCTTCACGAAAGGATAATAACACAAATGTATCCTCACTCTAAGTGTGAGTTCTCCTTAGAGAAGTAGAACAAAAAAGTAAAACATTTGGAGAAAAAAAGTCAATAACTTATAGCCCAAATATCACATATGTGCCACCTGAACAAGTAGACAAAGACCAATAATGAGGAGTTAACATGTCCTAAACTTCTCTGATAAATATCTTAAGTACAATTAAAGTGGTCAAAGAAATTACCTTAATTAACTCTTGGGCATTAAAGCATTGGCAATTAGTAAGGCTATAAGAACCAGAGCCTTTCCTATGATACTCTGAAAGGGGGCAGCCTAGGAAATGAACAGGTGATTGACTTGCTAATTTAATCATAGACAGGAATGAAAAGAAACCGCACAATTCAATTATCTTGGCTTTGGAATCAATATAATGATATACTTTCTCTTAAACCAGCAGCCAGTCAAACACTAGTACTGATGTCTAATGTTTTATAGACTCTGACACTCCCTATGTTTAAGTTTTCCTGATGAGCATAGCATCATTGGCCCAGAAGAGCAAACCCAGCAATGTAGGCTCTGCTTCAGGAAACCTTGGCAAATCAAATTCTGAGACCTCTACATGGCCACTAACATAAATCTGCCTGCTTTTTGCTGAACAGAGAAACATTATAGCCCTCTAATCATATTATTGAAAAGGGCTTAAAACAACCACTCTGATTTTCAAAGAACAATAGAATATCATTTCATTTAGGAAATTTACCTTGTCAATCTAAATATGCCCTGCTTTATTCTAAAAATAGTACAACTGCCAAAGTCTTTTTCCTCTTTAAAAGCACCCTCCCTGTTCATTCAGACATTGATATAGTACCTTTTATGTCTCAGACTATGTGATCATGATTCTTCTGCTCAAAGGAAGGTAATCTACTGCCATAGAGGTTAGAAGCTATTAATATATCTATTAATCAGGCTCATTCAACATATGCCAATCCCAACCTTACTTTGGTCTCAGATGTACTAAGCACTGATTTTTGAAAAAACAGGTTTACAAAGAAGACCAGAAAAAAAAAATCTCTTGGCTGCCTACTTATGTATGTTGTCATAGCTATTCAGAAGTAACCCAGATAGTGCAGCAGCAGTCTGGTGATCCATCTATCCCAGCAAATATAAATTATATGAAAACAGAAGTAAACAACAAGTTTCAACCAAAATAATGATTGATTTGGTAGCTCTATAAAACATGGTATCAGTTATCCCTTAAAAACAATTTCCTGCTTTTGTAATTTGTAATAGAAATTATAACTACTTATGAAATTCAAGTTCTTACAAGCAGAGGAGAAATGAAGGTGATTCCTATCAAATCCATACAGAAGGTCACTTACTCTGCTATATTGAGATAGCCACAGGAAGCAGCTGCATGAAGGGGTGTCCAACCCTCATTGTCTTGCTGGTTTACATTGGCTCTGTTTTCCACCAGAAACCTCACCATGTCCAAATTTTCATCAATACAAGCCTGAAAAGAAAAATCCATTTATTCATTCAACAGAGATGTACTGAACGCTACTATGTGACAGACACTGCTCTAGACATTGACAATACCCAGCAGTTCTAATGATACATTGTTTTTTCTTTCATACTAATGTCCATAGGATGACTCTAAACTCAGATGTACTACAGAACCATTATTTTTAGTACTAAAATATCAATAGGATTAATTATGAAAGTCATATCTAATGTGCTATAAATAGATAAGCTATTTAATCATTATACTATAAAAACAAGAGTACATTAGAAAGGTGATGACAATTTGCTTATAAATTTTATTTTTTAACTTTTTATCTTTAAGTGATTGTACAAAGGGGTTTCAATTAAACAAATCAGTTAATAAGCACAATGCATTCTGGTCAACGTCACTTGTTCCATTGTTCTCCCCCATCTTTCCCAACCCCAGCCCCACACCCTCGCTAATGAATTTTAAATGAAAAATAACATAGGCTCAATCACATGAAATTTCCTCAGTAGGAAGGTAAAGTGTAAAACTCTAGGGTTGCTAAAAAAAAAAACCCTCTAGTAAAACAGGTAAGGAGATCATTTCAAATGGAAAAAAATTATATTTTCTTAATAGCTTCAGACAACATTGGAAAGAATGTTTGTAGTTAAGGGTGTTTAAAATCCTTATCTGTCCATCTTATGCTTTCAATTAGGAGAGAACACAGAAGCATTCTGAAAAAAGGCCTTATAAGCCTAAAGGGAACAGTCATAACAACTATGATATCTGTAAAAGTCAAAATGGTATTGTAGCAGAATAAAGAGAAAAAGGCCCATGGTTGAAAAGGTATTATCCAGAGAAGCAAATGAGACCATCACATTTTAAAAATGTACTTATGAATCTCCTTGTTAGTATGAATAATTAATTAAAATTAAAATTGTAGCTAAGTATTCCTTAACCCAAGAAAAACAATGTTCACAATAATCTTAAAAAGTTATTTGCTTTCTGTGGTGTGATATTACATTAAAGGTGGGCAAATTTGGTAGGATGTTAGCATGGATCAAGGTAACCACATCAAAAAAAGGGGGTGGTGGGAGGTGGGGAGGACTAGGTGCGGGGAGGCGGGGGGGGGGGGGAGGATGGGAAGGGATGGGAAGGGGAAACAAAGGAGGAGGCTACAATGCTTGATAAGAAATGTACTCATTATCTTGCCCATGTAATTGTAACCCCTCTGTACAGTATTTTCACAATAAAAAATTAAAATTAAAATTAAAAAAAAGCCAAACTCCTAGCTGGGCATAGTGGTTCATGCCTTCAGTGTAGTTACTTGGGAGACTGAAATTGGGAAGATCTCAACTCAAGGCTAGTTCAGGGGGGGGAAAAAGTTTGTGAGCACAAATTGATGGTTCAAGCCTATAATCTGAGCTACTGTGGAGGGGAGGGGAGGGGTGAGGATAGCAGTTCAAGGATAGACTATAAAAGTTCATGAGGCTGGCCATCAATGGCTCACACCTGTAATCCTAATTACTCAGGAGGTTGACTGAGATCTGAGGATCCTAGTTTGAAGCCAGCCTGAGCAGAAAAGTCTGAGAGACTCTTATCTCCAATTAACCAACAAAAAGCCAGAAGTAAAGGTACGTTTCAAGTAGTAGAACAACAGCCTTGAGTGAAAATGCTAAGAGAGATCTGAGGCACTGTGTTTAAGCCTAATACTAGCATCAAAAAAAGTTCATAAGACTCCATCTTAACCAGTGGATGTGGTGGTAGGCACCTGTCATCCCAGGGCCAAAGGGGAGTACAAATAGGAAGATTGTAGTCCAGGCTAGCCCAGGCATAAGTGAAACCCTATTTCAAGAATAATAAATGCAGTGGTACTCACTAGACACTATGTTGAAAATGAACTTTATAACTTATGGGTAGGGATTGGAAGGAAAAACTAGGAAAGAGTGAGGGAAGGGGTGACATTGTCCAAAAAGAAATGTAGTCATTACCTGACTTGTTTAACTGTAACTCCTCTGAACATCACCTTTATAGTAACAATTTAAAAAATTTAAATATCAGATGCAAAAAGAGAATGGCAGAGAGGCTCAAGTGGTAGAACACCTCTTAGCCAAGTGCAAGGACCCTAGTATGGCCAAAAGACAGAGACAGAGACAGAGATACAAAGAGAAGACCAACTATACTTGCAAGTGGAGAAAATGACTACTTTTATTAACTCTTAAGTCCTTGAATATGGTTTTTCAATATTCTGGGTAACAAAATAGGAACTACATATGAAGCACAGCTGCTGTATTAGCAATGTGATGGCTGTTTCCAGGGAGAAGCACTTGTGCAGTCAATTGAATTGTAAGGTGAACTGCTACCTTTTACTCAAAAGAACAACTTATGGCTATTCTGTCTTAAAAATGAACAAAGTGAGCTTGTCCCCTTAAGGGAAATAACTAGTATTTGTTATCAATGATAAAGTTTGACCATGTAAAGGAAAACTAGAATTTGGGTAAACAGATACCACACACATACACATACACAACCAGATTCTTATATATTTTAACAAAATATCACATCAGACAGAATAAAGACATTAAATAAGATTTGCAAAAATGTAATATATATATATATATATATATCCATGCATATATATACATGTGTGTGTGTGTGTGTGTGTGTGTGTGTGTATTGGTCATGAACTCAGGGCTTGGGCACTCTCCCTAAGCTTTTCTGCTCAAGGCTAGCACTCAACCACTTTGAGCCATAGTACCATTTTTGGTTTTCTTGTGGTTAACTGGAGATAAGAGAGTTGTGGACTTTCCTGCCTGGTTTAGCTCTGAAATGTGATCCTCAGATCTCAGACTCCTGAGTAGATAGGATTACAAGGTGTGAGCCACCAGCACCCTGCTCACCTTGCTTTTTTATCCAGACTCTCCTGTCCATGGGGAAAATCTGCTACCCTTCTCCAAGCCTTGGGTATTAGATATGCAGAAAGTCCTTCACTGGGGGCAGGATTTTGTCTGGCAAGGTAAAAGGGAGAGATGTGGAGACAGAAAGGCAGGGTAGGGAGTGAAGGGAGGAGGGTGCCACTAAGCATGGACGAATGTCAGAGCTCAGAGAAAGCTTCTGGAACCAGGACAGCAGGAGACGATGACCAGATGTTTAAACAGTAAAAGATTACTACAAAAAAAAAAAAAAGATTCTACAGAAGGAATTCAGGCTGAAACTCAAGAGGAGGAGAATTGTAACTATAGGACCTACAGAGTATACATCTATCAAGAGAACTTATGAGATCTCCCTCCAGAGACAAACTTCATGGCAATCCAGCCTAGAAGCAAGGGGTGCAAGATTCAATTTAAGTGTAATCTAATTACCTATCTCTGGTTACACAAAGCATCATTGTTAATTTTTCACAAACCGTTTGATATTCTTTTTCTTTTACAATTACTGAGATTAGTTAAGCATATCAACCTTAACTTAATTTGATGTAATATATTTCTCCAATAGGACCTTCTGAGGCCAGATGACTCATAGCCATATTTTTAAGTCACTTTTGCAACAAGTAGCTCCAGAAATCAATTTCTTCTATAATATTTTCTTAGGCTTATTGGCTTCCACAAGCATTTCTGTTACATAATATATTGTCACATAAAATATTTCATAATTATACTTAAAATTGGTCTGTAATTCCAGTGGCAAGATCTGGCCAATTCATTGCATAGTTACTTCAGTGAAAAAATTGGGCAGGGAGCAGGGGAGAACGCTAGTCCTGAGGCTTGAACTCAGGGTCTGGACACTGTCCCTGAGCTTTTTTGTGCTCTGCTACTTGAATAATACCTCCACTTCCAGCTTTTTGGCAATTAATTGGAGATAAGAGTGTTATGGACTTTCCTTCCTGGACTAGTTTGAACTGTGATCCTCAGAGCTCAACATTCTGAGTAGCCAAGATTACTGGCGTGAACCACCAGCAATAAAAACTTTCAAATGGAAGTGGAAGTGTAGCTCAAGTGGCACAGGGCTAGGCCAGCCTTGAGCAAAAGAGCCAAACAGAATGCAAGGCCTTGAACTCAAATCCCTAGTAAGGGTGTGCACATGTACACAGACAAACAGACAAACACAGACACACACAAACACCACACACACAAACCCTATAAGTGAATAGATAAAAGCAGGTATGTATTAACCTATCTGTCATAACCAGAATACCTTAGCAATTTTTAAAGGGAGCATTATTTAGACTCATGTTCTATTGACTAAGAAGTCCAACGTTGGGCAATGGTGAGGACCTCATCCTTCAACTCGATGAAAAGTAGAAGGGCAATTGATGTGTGAGGAGACCCATTCCCATGGAGAAAGATGGTATCCATTTGTGAGGGCTCCTGCTCTTCCTCCATGAAACCAGAAACTTTCCACTTGGCTCTACACCTGATATTGCCACAATGAAGAATTAAGGTTTCAATACTTACTTTGGAAATATACTCAAACCAAAATGGGCATTCCAAAAAACATATTGAAGTCAAAGGAGAAGATAGTGTTTTAGGGATTTTATCAATTACTTTTCTCATCACAGTGACAAGATATTTGACAAAAACAATGTAAAGGAGAAAGATTTATTTTACCTCATGCTTTAAGAGGATTTAGTCCATAGTTATTAAGCCTCATGTACTTATAAAAGTAATTTTATTTAAAGAAAAACACTAGCAAGATTTAAGAGCTTGTTCGCAAGAATAACTTCTGAAAATTCCCTAAGTTCAGAACACAATGAAATCCTAAATGCAGAAGCTACCTGGCTGTAACACTGTAGACATGGTTAATCTAGAAAAGAATCATCCTTGTAAGTAATAGCAAGCCACAGAGTCAAGGCATTTGCTCTAATGAATATAGTAGAGTGATTATTCCCTTTCCTTCCCTGTCCTCTCTGCTTCAAGGACTATGAAGCATGGATGAGAGAGGAATGGTCCTTGCAAATCTTCTCAAGTAAATAATGACTAAATTTAGATGTCCTCTGCCCACACCACCTGCAGCTGTGCTGCTGA